TTTGATTAGCTAAAGCTAGCTGCTAAATAAAGTCATATTTACCTGGTGGCCACCTGGTGGCTGTACAGCCTCTCTCCCTGCTCGCTGAATAGCCGGGCCAGACCAAAGTCTGCAATCTTCAGGTGGCCTGAGGAGCTGATGAGCAGGTTTGCTGGTTTCAGATCCTGCAAACACACAAACGTCACTTTATAATGGTTTGATTTATTTTGTTAAAGCAAAAGAAACCCAAACTCTCCACATATTTCACATATTTTCAGCTTTTCATTTATTATGAATAACCAACAGTATTTAAATATCCTTGTATGTTTAAGTGTTGCTTGTTACAAACGCAGGATTCACTGAGAAAACAGTCAGACGACTCATTAATGATAATAACTGTTAGCTGCGCTCACCCGGTGCATGACATTGTTGTGATGCAGGAAAGCCATGCCCTTCAGCAGCATCATCATGTAACTTTTGACCTGCGCAGGGGTCAGAGGGCGCTGGGAATTCCTGATGACCTCAGAGAGGTCAGACAGCATGAAGTCGAACACCAGGACGAAGCCCGTGCCGTGAGGAAAGACGTCCTTCAGCTTCACCACCTGAGGAGGAAGTCACAGAAAGAAGTCCTGCATCCCTTCAGACTCCAGACACTCTGCAGCTTCTTATAATTTTCTCATATAGCCTAATCTCCTTTTTATTAACATGTCTGTTATGCTCGGCTCTGTTCTTGCTGCTCTGCTTTGATTGTCTATGTTTTCCATGTACGAATTTTTGGTTTCTGTTATATCTTGTTTGTGATATCCCCCCAGCCACCAGGGGAGCTGGAGTGTATCCCAGCTACCATAGGTACACCCTGGACAGTCTGTTGCAGGGCTAACACATAGAGGCAGACAACTATTTGTACTCACATTCACACCTATGGGCAATTTAGAATTACCAATTAACCTAACCCCACTAACTGCATGTTTCTGGACTGTGGGAGGAAGCCAGTGTACCCGGAGAGAACCCAGGGAGAACACGCAACCTCCACACAGAAGGGACTCATACTCAGGACCTTTTTGCTGTGAGGCAGCAGTGCTACCCACCGCACCGCTAAACACTAATCAAATTTTAAGATTAAAATGACTCTTATCTGTAAAAACTCTCTGCACATTCACTCACATGCTCGTTGTCCTTGATCTCCTGCAGTGCTTTAATCTCCCTCAGAGCCTGGTTCGGAATGCCGTCTTCCAGCCTCCTCAGAGCCACTTTCTTCAGAGCCACCGTCTCCCCTGTCTAACACACAAGAGCATTTCCATGTCACATTTCTAAACCGCTGAGGTTAGATTCCAAATTTAATGCTGATCGGATTACACAAAGAAAAGGGGGGGAAAGAAATGAGGTAAGATGCAGACATAAAAGCACCAGTCCGTCACCTCAATATGTTTGGCCTTGAAGACTATGCCATGAGCTCCTTCTCCTGTCCGACCCAGAATATTGTACTGCTCCATGTTTTCATGAGCGTGTAAAACAGCTTCAGTTAATCTGGATTTAATCTGGTCACAACTCTCACTGATTTTTTTTTTTTTAATTCAAAGAGTGGTTTGAAGTAAACCCCCAATGATGTACAAATTAGCTCCTTGGAGCAGAAAACCAAAGAGAGGAACGCCAACCTCGAACTTCACTCATAAATTAAGCTGTTCACGATGCTGCGCACGTTTTCTCAATAAGATATAGTTATTAAACTATTATCTTAAGCCCAGTAAAAGTTGAAACCGTTAACTTACATTCGGCTTGTATTACATATGCAACAACAAACAGCTGTAAAGAAAAGTCTCTCAGAAAATAAATCCTGAGACAGCTAGCTGTTGGCTAACGTTGCCTTGGCAACGTCTTAACTCCGATTACCCAGCTAAAATTTTAAAACTTGTTACTGTTTAACTTCTGCTCCCGGATTGACACGCACGCTTGTTAAGAAAGAAACTACAAAAACGACGATATGTAATTTTTTAATACGCATTTTCATTTAGGACGTTTTAATAATTGTTTCGTGTTACAGTAGCTAGCTACAGATCCGCCCGTGGTCTGCCATGTTTGTTTACAGTGACGTCATGAGACAGGACCACCATAGAGCCAGAGCAGGTAGAAAGCATTAGACAGAAACAATGTTTTATTTTATTTTATTTTTGATTCCTTTTTGTTGTTCTTGTTCGCTGTTTCATTTTTTTAACGTACAAACTAAACAATTTGACGTGAACATTTCATTCGATTAATGATTAAAAAGCAATTTTGTTTTTCACCCTAGTTTATAAAGCATGTCTTTTGAACTGTATAGAGATGTACTTGATGTGTCTAAAATTTAAAATCTGCTCAGGCAAATCCTTCTAATTTCCCTGACCGACAGACAGACTTTTTTTAATCCAATTGGGAAATTCTTTTTTACAGCAGCACGATAAAGAATAAAAATTATTCACTCCGTACTGGTATTGTACATAACGAAAAAGGCTTTCTATTCTAGTATATTAAAGTATATTAAAAAAAATAAAGTAAGGCTTTTTTTGAAATTCCGAATTTATGCTATCATTAGTTGACAAGCGTTTGCTGTCGTTTTGTCTTTTCTGTTCTCACAAAATCTATTCTTTGGGTTTATTTGGAAACCCGGAAGTACTTGTTCACAGTTTCTTCCCATCCGGTGTAGAGTGGCGTGTTTACGTCTTGTGTTAAGCATGCTAGCCGGAGAGTTTGGTGTCCAGAAACATTAACGTTTACGACAGAGAAATCGGGTAGTTGGCAGCTGGACTTTATCTGCAGCTCAACCGGATGTTTTTTCTGTTGTTTGTAGCTTCTTTAAAAGAGAAGACAGTGAAGAAATGTCTGCTCCCGACAATGCCACAGCTAGACCTAACGTGGACCAGAAGGTGCTGCAGTATGAAACCTTCATCAATGAAGTCCTGAAGAGAGACTTACAGTAAGAAGACACTACCGCTGATGTCTGAACACAGTTTATTATGTCCGTACAGAAAGCTTTATTCAGTTACAGAACTTTAAAAACTAAAGTAAAAGAAATGTAATCTGTAGTTAAAGTAGTGCAAAATACTTGTGTAGATAGATAGATGTAGATATGAACTCAGATTTTTATCCTGGCAGACTTTGAGCAGGTAGTAGAGGCGATATGAAGGTCAATGAGGAGTGACTACAAATTAAAGTAATTTAAAGCTTAATTAACAGCCTAATAAATGTCAAGTCTCACAGCTGCTGATTGTATAATAGGGCTGGTGTCATTTTTGGTCCCCCTCTGTGCCTTAATTACTTGCAGACTGATTATTAAATACTTACACTCACAGGTCACTTTATTAGGAATACCTGCTCAACCCAAATATCTCATCAGCGATTCATATGCCAGCAAATCAATGCATTTAGGCATGTAGACGTTGTCAAGACAGCCTTTGCGTGCAATGTGTTTTTAATACAGTGGGATTGTCATACATGTCACTGCTGTGCCAGCACTGCAACAACTGGGTCAACAAACCAGACAGAACTGGAGCGTTTTGACCACACTAAGAGGAAACATCTCAAATACCATACTGCTTCACATTCTGCAGCCTGTACTGCAGAGCAGAGCTCAGCATGAGCTAACAAAGTGCGAAGCACATCCAGTTATGTTAATTTACAGCTTTATATTGTTATTCTTGCACACTATGACACTAGAGTAGCTTTGCATGATTCATAGTAATCATGCAAAGCTACTAATTATTACTAAAATAATTTTTTTTTGCCTTTGACATGTGGGTGGGCTATATTAGGGATATCTCTTCTCAATGACATCATACAGATTTAAGACTTGGAAAAGTATTTAGAGGAATCTAAGGCCTTAGCCTTTGGTTCACATGGGTTACTTGTACATGCACAGACCCGACTGGTTGTGTTTAATGTGAACACTGAGAATTTTATTAGGGTGTAAGAAAAGAAATACAGAAATTACTTTGTACAGTTACAGAACAAAATGGTGCAAAAATCTAAAAACTACACGTAAGAAGGAGCTCAGTTATATAGAAGGGATACAATAATGAGCTTGAATCTGTTGTAAGTACACATGTGTGATGGATAAGAAGGGTAGATCTAATCTTACAGGTATTTATGTGGTTCTTCAGGTTGGCATCTGACTGTTTGGTGACACAGACTAAAGAGCTCAGGTGTCTGAAATGCTGTTTGGTGCTTTGAATCAGATTTTCTTGGCGCGTTTAGGCTGTTTGAATTATTTTGGTCCATCTGAAGGCGTTAATGTTCTCTGTAAATCAAGTGACGGCTGTCGTTTGGCAGGAAGGTGGTGGAGCAGAGGGATCAGGTTTATGAGAAGATCTCTCAGTACCTGCAGCTGAAGAACACCATACAGAGTCTGCAGGTAAACGCACACAAAATGTATTGTGTTATTTTGAAGGCCTGTAGGTTTTTCAGTTTAGAAAAGAAGAGATTTCCACATTAAACTGGAGATCGTTGTAGTGATTCCCAAGTGTTTGTGCTGGCTGTCATTCTCTGTTAATGTTAAACGCTTCAGTCTGCTGGTTAATGAGCTGCAGACTAAACTCTGCTGATACAGACATCTCTCTCTGTAGCTTCTCTGTGTGAGCTGTTTCTGTAATTCAGCACACTCTTCTGTGAGGAAAGGTGGAGGAGCTTATCGCACCTCCATCAATACAGCTGAGCCTCACTGCAGCTGTTTATCCAGCAGATCAATACGTGTGGCTCATTAGGCTGTGAACCCAAACCTCCATCGTCTGGATCAAAGAGCCTGAAACTACAGCTGGAAAAAAAACATTCAGACATTTTGCCTCCACTTTTCAGATATTTGAAAAGATAATTTTTTATTTGTTTTTATTTTATTTAGAGGATAGAAGTTTTAATTTTAGTTTTCAGATATTTTTAAAATAATGTTCATAATCATTTATGTCTGTGTAGGTTTTCAGTCATCCGGGTCATGGCAATCTAAGGAGCTTGGAAAGAAAAGCGACTCAACTTCTTTAAGTTTCTTGAAGACGTTTCATCCAAGAAGCTTCTTCAGTTCTAAAACCAAACAGTGGAGAGTCCCAGGTATTTAAGTCCTAGTGGGAGTTGTCCCATAAGAGGGTCGTTGACAGACTATTGATCGTGTGCCTCATCACACACCTTGGCTCATGCGATGTAATATTTTGAACTCTCCACTATTTGGTCTTAGAACTGAAGAAGCTTTCCAGATGAAACGTCTTCAGTCGCTTTTCTTTCCAAGCTCCTTACATATTCACTGATATATTTTTCTGCGGAAACCCCTCCAAACAAGCCAAACTCATTCAGTCTCTTTTCTAACTGTCATGTCATGAACTTTAACCTCTAACATGCTAACTGAGCCCTGTAGATGCTGAGATGAGTACTTTTTTCTCTGAGCTTGGGCCGCCTGTTCCACGAGTGAATGAAAGTCACACTCTTCTTTGTGTTCCTGCAGGAGGCGGGCTCTCAGCAGCTGAAGACTGACGTTGATCTTGGCTGTAACTTCTACGTTCAGGCTGAAGTGTGAGTTGCTGACACACGAAGCAGTCATCAGCAGCTGTTCTGCATTCAAACAGGCACAAATGCTGCATTTAGGCTAATGAAATGTGCTGCGAGACTCCAGAGAGGCAAGAGGATCCGTGCTCTGTGTTTCCTGTTTAAACTCAGTTCTCGTTTTCTTCTCCTCCATCAGCGAGGACTCATCCAGGATGTTTGTGGCCGTTGGTTACGGTTTCTTTGTGGAGATGACTCACGACGAGGCTCTGAGGTTCATCGAGAAAAAGACGAGTCAGCTCACAGCGTGAGTTCATTGTCACTGTAACACTATTAAGATTAAAAGTAGGAGAAAAAAGCATAAAAAAATTAATTATGTTTCAGATATGTTTCAAATGAAGGTCAGGATTTCACTTTGTTGTGAAATTATTTGAAAAAAATATGTTAGAACTATTTATTTTGAAATGTCCTGATTTTGTTTTTAGATATTTTTGGTGGGTTTTCTGAACATCTATGATTTTATTATTAATTTTATCTTTAGATATTTCTCAAGTATTTTTTTCCACACTTAAATTTTCCAGTTTAAAACATTGATATTTTTGTTGTATTTTTTTTCTGACAAATTCCTGTTTTTATTGTACTTAAAAATTAAGTTTTATTTGTTTTATTTATTTATTTATTGGAATTATTGCTAATTATTACTATTTTTTTATTTTATACCTTTTGTAAGATTTTTTTTTTAATTTTTATTATTATGATTGATTATTTTTTTATGATTTGTTGTTGCAGACTAATGTCTATTAGCTAGCTCATGTTAGCTCTTTGCTAGCACTGTCACTTTCTCTGAATGAGAGATGCTAACCATGCTAACCCTGTGTTTGTGTTACAGCTTCACTGAGCAGCTCACAAAAGACTCTGCCAAAATAAAAGCCCACATCCGCATGGTGCTGGAGGTCAGTTTCTTCTCAGGCGGATTATAGGACAGTTTTTATATAATAATAGTTTCTGTTGGGTGCAGGAGTTTTCCTCTGGCTTATACTTAAGTACTAAATAACTTGTTACTCATTTCTGAGGATTTTACAGTCAGTGAAGTTTGAACATTGAACTGGAAATAAAAAGTTTTGCCCACCTGATGAAAAATAATCAAGATCAGATTTGAATATGTTCAGTTAAAAACTGTTTTTCAGTATTTACTGGTGACAAAAGGGTTAAAATAGTCAGATTTATCTGATTTATGATCAGATGTTAAAGAAGCAGGTAAAGAATCTGATTGGCTGCTCTTTTCTTCTTCATGTTTCCCTCCTCAGGGTTTGAGGGAGCTGCAGGGCCTGGGCGACCTGCCAGAGAGCAGAAGAGGAGACGTTTTTTAGACTTTCCCGCCTGACCAGCTGCAGAGGACGGGTTAACGAAAGCCGGCTGCTGATGTCAACGGTGTGCTTTGGGAAAACAGGTTCGAGGAGAAGGAAAGACTTCAGGACTAAAGCCTGAAAGTCGTCACAGAGCTGAAGAGGAGGATTAGTGCCTGAGCCTTCTCAGAGTCAAAACTCACTGTCATGAAACGCGTACACTCGACGTGACTTTGTGTCTTTGTGAAACTCGTCTGTTGAAAATCAGAGAATATTCCTGTTTTTTGTTTTTTGTTGTCTTCAGTGTCACATTGAAAAGGGGGCTGCTCAGAGATGATCCTGCAGCCTCTAAACAGACACTTTCAGTCAATGTGACAAATTCAGGTTCAAACAAACCTGATCTCATAGGTTGAAAACAATGTGACAGGAAGTGAGTGATGTTTCACTGTTTGGAGTTTGAAATAAATTGTTTTGTGAAAATGATCCAGACAGCTTTCCTTCCTTCGGTTTGTTGGACCTGTGCTCAAGGTGTTTCCTGGGTTTTCATAGAAATTCTTTGAATGTTTTACTGAATCTTTGAGGATTTCACTTTTTTTTCCCCTGACTAGCTATTTTCTAAAGTTCTTTGAGAATGATGTGTTTATTCAGGTGTTTCAGGACTTTTAGCATCGTCCAGCCTCCTCCTGGAAACCCTGCTGAGGCTGATCCGACACCAGGATGGGTCCACATTAACGGGTGGTTACTCTCCTCTCCTGGTTCTCTCTTGAGCCATCTTGAAGTTTTCTCATCTGTTTCAGTGGTAATACAGATGTCTGTTCTCCTTAATCTTCTCTTTAATGCCCAACAAGTCGAAGGCTTTAGACACAACACCTCCTCATCCGGCCTCCACTGGGAGACACTTTGCTCTCCATTCAGCTTGCTGACAGCCGGCCTCTTCTACGGCGGTCAGCCATCCTCCAGGAGTGGGGCTGGTGACTCCCCTTTGCCAAACACGGTGTGTCTCTGGTTTCCACAGTTCGGTCCAAGTTCATGTTCTCTTTGATCCTGCTGCCTCATTCCCACCATCTTCCTTCTCGACTGCTGTTCTCTTCCTGGACTAAGCAACACGTCTTTCGCTCTGATGATGTCACGACAGGAAGCTGAAGAGGCTCCCAGACCAGCCCTGGCTGTTGTCATCACTCCCACCTGCTGCAGTCTGCTGCTCAGACAGCCTCCTCTGCCCCCCGCCTCCTCTGCCCCCACTTCACGCTCAGCTTTGGCCATATTTGGATCTCTGTACTGCCACACTTCTCTGGCTCTCCCCACTCTGAGCTTTTTGTACTATTTCTTTGTACGTTATTCCTCATGATAAACTTTTTACATGTCAGTAATTTTTTCAATAATATTTTTAAATGATGTTCATTCATTCTATGGACTAATAAGCTTCCAAAACAGGTTTCAGTTATTTTAATATTTTGAAATATTTATTTTGCTGAACATGTGTCCATATTTGTCTTATTTTCTTATTGTTAGTACAAACGTAGTACAATTTTCTCTGTTAGTACTTTTTAATTTTTTCTACTTTTTTTTATAAATATGTTTCAGACATTTTACTGATTTAAAAAACATATTTTACTAATGTAACATTTATATGGAGTAATTTAAAAGATGAGTACCGCGACTGTGACTCACGTCTTTCCACCATTATTTCAATCAGAATGCTTTTGTTGTTATCACATTATAAAATACATAAAATCGAGTGCTAGTTCTGTCTCAAAAAAAGAATAAAAAGTCAGCAGAAGATGATAAATAATGATCAATATTAAGGTGTCAAGCATGAAAGAGACGGTGCTTTACAGTATTCGATTTCAGACAGTAACTGCACTGTTTGCCTTTGTTTTGATGGACTTTTACCTTCAACCACCGGGCAACAGGTCAAGCAGAGTCCAGAGTGAGAAAACGTCTTCTGCTCACCTTCAAGGCCATTCATAACCTCACACCTCCTTACCTGTCTGACCTGTTAAGCACTACATTCTCTGCCCACTCGCTTTGATCTTCTTCTTCTATCCAGCTTTCTGTGCCTTCCTTCCGCCTCACCGCCATGGGCAGCAGAGCTTTCAGCTGCTCTGCTCCCAGATAAAGGAAACACTGGTTCTCTCCCCCAGTTTAAATCCCAACCCAAAACCCATCTGTTCAAATCTGCATATTCACTGTGAGCCCACAGTTTGTTAATTTTATCTTGTGCTTTTGTTTTTTTATTGTTCGTCATTGTTCTATTATGTGTTTTTATCTATTGTACAGTGTCCTTGGGTGTCTTGAAAGGCGCTTTATAAATACAATTTATTATTATTATTATTAATCATATTTAGTGATTTTAAGGTGATATTTTGCATTAACAGCTTCTTGTAGGGAGGGGAGTGTGCAGCCAGCAGTCTTTGGTAATGTCTTTGTTATTTCCTTCTGATTACCCTTTTTATCTGCTGCAGAGCATCCGGCTGTTACGCAGTACACCGGGATGCTTTCTACACATAATAAAAGGCCACCAGCAGTTTGCCATGCACACAGTTCCTCTTCAGCAGCCTCAGGAAGTGAAGTGCTGCTGAGCTTGTTAATGTTCACAGACCAGGTGAGGTTGTCAGAAATGAGGGTCCTTCTCTACACGGTTCTTACTATTAAACAAATAATTGAATAATCTTAGAAAGAAATCTTTCATTTGGGAGATAAAAGGTTGTGCCAGAACAGAAACATCCTGCTCCGAACGGGTGGAAATCTCTGCAGCAGGGTCACATGTGATCCACTGTCCACATACTTTTGGAAATCCTCCGATGAGATGCGATTGTGCGTCGAACTGACGCACAAACAGACCCTCAGCATATGTAACGATTATTGAAACAAGATGTAGCGGTGCTTGGCCATTAGCTCAGCTGCTTTTTAGAGATGCAGCGCCATAAAGAACCTGTTGCCATGGAAACTGGATGCTGAATAGAGGCAGTGGCGTAAAGAAGCAGAGGGAAAGAAAGAGAAAGATGTGATGCCGACTGAATGGCCAGAGCTCGGCCAGCATGTGGTCGATTCTAGCTGCAGTCAGACAGAAGGAGGTGATTTCAGCCAACGTCTTTAGAAGAAATCCTTAATGAGAGTCGCTGTAAAACAAAATAACGACATCAAGTTTGAAATCAAGATTCAAACCCTGTTACTCTGAGTGAAAGACGTCATCCCAGTGCACTGCAAGAAAGGATCTGTGGATCTTCACATTTGCATTTATTTTCATTTTTAGAGTTTGAAACAACTCTAAAAATCACGTCCCAAAGTATGAACACAGACCTCTTCATGCAGCTTTACAGTGTCCTGAATAATCAGACGTCTTCCAGTGGAGCTGTAAAGCTCCATCCTCGGGATTATTCCGACTAGACTGGAATGAAGAAGTGGACGCTCAGATCGCTGATGAAGTCTGGGAAAAATCTTTGGAAAAAATTGGTGGTACTTCTATAAATGCTCACGTTCAAAACCGTCCACAGACTACACTTCTCTCCATCCAGATTACATAAATTATTCAAAGACATTCCACCTCTGGGTGTGAAAGTTCAACAGAGAAAGGAACCCGATCTCATCAGTGTAACAGATTACAGACTTTGTCACCAAGGATTTAAACAGGGGGGGCTTTGTTTGGCCCCTCTTACAGCACAGTGTAGGGTGATGATTCGTGCAGTGTGGAGGATTAGCACATTTCCTACAATCCAGGAAGTCTGAGACGCCTCCAACAAGTCAAACAATGCAAAGGCTGAAAAGTTGAACTGAAACTTTTTTGGTCTTATTGATGATGTCACACTGTCCTATAAATATGTATAACAGGTAATAATGTAATTGAGTCTGTATGCTAACACCATAAATACTAACACCTAAATCCTCCTTAAGTACCTTTTTTTTTTAGCTCTCTCAGAGACCTTGTAGTTTAATCTACCTGATGTTTTATAAAAAGATAAAATTATAATTAATTGATTATTATAAAAAATATTATATTTCTCATAAAGTGAATATTATGAATAATTAGTGCTTGAGATTATTGCTGCATTTTAATTTTGCAACATGTTTGCAGTTTTAGTTCAATATTCCTTTCAGCTTTGATTTCATTTTACTGTTTACTGAAGACAGAAATATTTTGATAGCATTTTTATAATATTTTTCACTGCTTTCCTCCTTAAACGTAAATGAAAGATTACAGTAGTACTGTCAGTAGCAGTGCTCACACGATGTTTACCATGAGTATAGGTCAGGGTCACCTCACGGCTACAGCTGGTTCCTAGTGACAGACTTCAAACTTCAAAACAAAAAGGTTTTCATCTGAATTATTAGAGAATGAGCTTTTTAACAAAAATAACGTCCAGTTTATATAATTTTGTCACAACCCGGTTCTTAAGGATATGACAAAGAGGCGGACACACCTTTAAGAAAATAGTTTATTAAGAAATTAAAGACAAACTAATTCAGCACACGGCATGGTGGCAGGGAGAGAGAAACGCGGGAGTCCCAGCCACAGATTTATAGTCCGGGAACACACCTTCCAGGTGTGCTCAGGAGCCCCGCCCACCGAAGACCTGAAACACATGTAGAGAGAAAAGCCTGGGAACAAGGGGCAGAGATTTAACTGTGAAAACCTGTGAACAAATTTAGACTTACCTTATTTTATCACAGTACCTGAGATACGAGCACTATTCCCTGTTTCCAAAATGGGATTGGCCGTGCGAGCGGTTATCTTTGCAAAGACCGCAGCGGTGCGATAAGAGTGCAGATCTGACATCGATAAGATGCGTTTCACTGAGTTCGTTCAGCAAAGTTTGGCGGAGTTACTCAGAACTCCTGTCCATGGAGCGCACAGCCGTCGTGACGTCACCCCCCGTTGCTGCAGAAACTGTGCTTTCACTCACCGGAATTCAAACAAAGCGCGAAAGGATGTTCTTCAAAATAAGAGCACATGAAACCCGCAAACCTTTCATTTGAAAACGTAATTCCACACAGATTTATGATAATATTCATTGGCTGATTCGGTCACTGATTCGAGGTTTAAAAACAGGGCAAAACCCCCAAATATATAAAATAATTTTGCTAAAACCCAGACAACGAGCTGATGCGGAACTTTGAGAAGCAAGTCTGCACTCAGAAACCTCCTTTTAATGGTTAATTAACCTGAATGTCAGTGGTCAATGAGACATGAAAATTACACGTGTGCACTCATCAGTCAAATATGAAAAGTTTGTCTTTAGTGAAGACTTGAGACTCCTCTAAACACTCTTTTACCTACACTGTCTTTTCTTTGTTTGTTTTTTACTCTTTTTTTCTATGAGGAAGTGTCTCTAATGACACTCTCTCAGGCAGAGAAGCCTCCACCAACAATTACAGCATTACAAAGTGCAAAAATATTAAAACAAGTCACTGTAACTGTTTTTTAACCAGTTAAATGATCAAAAATCTTTATATTTGTCAAGCTCTGCAAAAGGTGAATACCTTACTAGGTATTTAAAAAATGTGAGTAACTCAAAATTTTGAGATACTAAACTTAAATTTTGGCATATGGCTAGCATTAAATAAATGAATAATAAAATAAATAAGTAATAATGGTAAAAAAAAATATACATTTAAATTAAAAAGTGCTGGAAACAAGCTTCCATTCCTGAGTCTAGGCAAATAATCGGTTTTAAGTAATCTAAAAATATCAAAGTTACAAGGCTTGTTTAAAAAAATCTATGGTAGCAATAAGAATGAAAAACGATCATTTCCTACAGAGAGAGCGTGGGGCGCTTGAGCCATTTAAGTTTTAATCTGAAGGTACACCGGAAGTGAGGCCGTTTGTGTTGAGGCTAATCTGACGAGAATGGAAGCGTTGAGGAGGCGTGTGGTTCCAAACAGGAAGAAACTGGGAAAACACGCATTAAATACGATATCCTCGGACACAGCCTACTAACAGCCTGGGGCAGATGGTACAAACTACTTTTTCTCCATGCCGGAGGCCTGTGGACCGTTCCTGGTGTACTCCTTTTAGATCTGTCCCGCAGTCGGAGGGGCTGTTTGGGGGGGCTGACGCACCAGCAGAAGCACAGGAAGGCGGGGGGCTGTCATAGCAGCAGGCTAGGCTAGGCTAAGCCTGGCTAAGCGCTGCAGCCCGGAGAAACCTTGAACTTGTGTAAACTTTGTGGAGTACAACACCGGAAGTAGCATCACCGGAGTGGTTAAACGACAACCACGGACTCCACAGATGAGACAAATATACACAGACGTCTATTATTTTTATAGTTTTTTTTTTTCCTAAAAAGTGTTAGCCTGGCAGCGGACTTATAGCCAGTTAGCTGTTGAACACATCCAGGCTCTGGCAGAGGGACGTGAGCGGGAGAAAATCGCCTCAGTTTGCCCCATGCACATCCGCAGAATGGATCTAATTTGCGTTGTTAACCAGTGAAAAGCTATTGGACGCTAACTAACACAGTGGATGTTAATTAATCACTGAGGTATCAGCGGATGAAGATTGTTTTTTGACACATAAGAGGGACTTTTTTTCTGTTTTGTCATATCGGTTTTTGTGATAACTTCTGCTTTCCGTTAGTGTGGTTATCATGGAGGTAGGGGAGCCTGGCAGCGGCAGCTCGGAGCGGTTACATAACGCCAGCAGGCCGGTAGAGAAGCTGCTGAACGTCGCCTCCTCTTCAGCCTCCTCAGCCTGGCTCTGACAGCTGTAAACCCCCTCCAGCGCATACACAGACACACACACACACACTAACAGACTCACAGACGCACAAACAAACACAGACAGACTGACAGCAGGACAGCAGCATGGAGGTGGTGTGAGGCATCTGGGAGATAGAAAACAGCAACGAGAAGGATCGTTTTGCTGAAGATGGAGTCCAACCCACTGATTAACGGTGAGAAATACTGCTGCAGGATACAGTTGCGTGCGTGCGTGTGTGTACCGCAGTCCTGCGTGTGTTTCTGTGCACTTTGGAGGGAAGAAGCAGCAGCTTTGCAACAGGTGTGTGGAAGCTGCTGTGGCCTGCAGCTGGGTTGGACCTGAATTGTTTTCATGCTGCTGCAGGCGTGTACAAACTTGCAGCCTGAGAGAGAAAATCCACACTAAATGCTCTTTAACTATTCACAGTAGGGGGGCAGAAAGTCACTGCAGGGGGGATGGTGTGTGTTTATATGTTTACTGTTGCTACAGCACTAATACCTGTTTATAATTTGGAGCAGAGCACACTACTAGAGATTAATACAGGGGTTATGAAAATGACAGTTTCTGCTTTATTTTATCAATTCATATGAACATAAATGGAAATGCAGCATGCTAAAAAAAACATTGTCAATCAGTAACTTCTGAGATGGTATTGCATCGTGAATCGAAATCTATTTGTACGTCTCTGCAGTTTTAATTACATCTTTTTTGAAAAGATCAACACCACTGGTTGAAATACAGTTCCAAACCATGACAGAGCCTCCACAGTGTTTTACAGGTGGCTGGAGACACTTACTGTTGTAGCTCTCTCCTGACCTCCTTCATACATACTGATGATGATTTGACTCAGAAATATCAAATTTGGATTAATTGCTCAATTAGACCCTTTGTCAGTGATTTTCACTTGAGTTCTTGTGTAATTTTCATACATCAACCTTTCCTTTTCCATTCCCTTTCACTGCTTTCTTGACTGCCACCCTTCCACTGAGATCATTGCTGAAACTTCAGTGATCTCTCAGGTCCTGTGTCAGGTCTTTGCTGGATTTGTTTTAAGGACGTGACTTTCAGATGCTGTCTGTCTGATGTAAACAGTTTCTTAGTTCTGCGAGTTTTTCTTTTGTCCTTAACTTGTCCACTTTCTTAGATTTTTCAAGGACATGCTGCACACCATGGCGAGATATAATGCAAGTGCTTGGCAATGTGGTCGAGCAAAAATACTACAGTATGCACTACAGTTTTACAGTACTGTGCAAAATGGAACAACGTTGTGATGATACTGATTGGTTTTGGGCTGCAATTGAGGTTATCGATTGCTTCCATGTGTTCTGCTTTTGCTAGTTGGTACCAGAAATACCTGTTGGCTAAATGAATGATTTTTGTTTTATAATGTACAACGGCAGTATCTATTCGTTCAAAAATGACACAACTTCATTGACCACTAGCCAGAGCAAAAGCCCTGACACATAGCTGTGGCCCATCTGTCTGATCTGACCCATTTTTCCAATCCGATGCCAACTTTCTGGCTGTGAGTGTGTGATACAGCATACCTGTTATCAGCATTAAATTAATAAACCGTGTGTAACCTTGGCTACGTTCACTCTGCAGGTCTTAATGCTCAATTCCGATTTTTTGATCAAATCAGATTTTTTTTGTCTGCTCGTTCAAACTACAAATAAAATGCGTCAGCAAACGTGCTCTAGTGTGAACGCTCAAAGCGGCCCGCATGCGCAAAAGAAGACGTCACACACAACGCGCTCTGTTTAGACCCAGAGCAAACAATATTGTTTGACTGATGGCCCTTAATATAAAGACTTCGGATTTTACGTTTCCCAATTTTTGCTTTAAGTTATTTTGTTATTTACATAATAATGTAAATAACCTAATAATGATCATTATTGCTGTTTTAGAGGAGCGGTGCTTCAAAGGATAGTTGCAGATTTCTGTCAGAATCTGCAGATTATGCAGTACAAAGAAAATGTTAACGTTGTCTTCCCAACAGTTTCACTGACATCTACTCTGGATGGCCAGGAAGCGTTCACGATGTCTTCGCGGGCGCTTCTCCAGCGCTGATAATTAGCATCTGTCTTGTGTCAGTGACGTAAAAGACGGATTTAATGCGACATGACCGTTCAAACAGCAGTCGCTTTCTAAAACATCGGATATGTATCGGATTCAGTACCACATATGAAAGTGACCCAGATCGGATTTGAAAATATCGGATTTGTGCCGTTCACACTGTCACACCATGATCGGATAGATGGTCGCATAGGGTCAAAAAAATTGGATTTGATGTGCCACAGCCGCTCTATCACGTGACACATACTGCTCCGACGGGCTAAGGTTATGAGCTGAGTAGGGCTGCCACGATTAGTCAACTAGTCACGATTACGTCAACTATCAAAATCGTCGACGACTGGTTTAATAGTTGACACGTCGTTTGAAGCTTTGTAAGATCACAAAAGACGCAGGAATAAGTAGCAGGATTTAAGAGTGTAATAACGGACTGAAACAGAAGATGGCAGCACTGCATGTACAAGGATGCCAGCTGCCGTTAAACCCTGAAGAAGAAGAAGCTGTGTCCCAGAATTCATAGCGCAGCCGAGCTCAGTTTCCAACAATGGCGGAAGCTAGTTAGTTTTAATATTACTCTTATTATTCTTTCTGGGTCACAAAATAAACGTTTAACATATTTTCAGGCGAGAATGTAGCTGTGTAAACCTCAAATATCTGCTCAGTTTATCAGGACACCACATATTTTCAAAAGCGCTCCGACGTTTTCGGAGACGTCTGTTACCCACTAGCTCGATAGTTAGCCGGGGTTCAAGGCTCACTAGAGCCGTGAGAACACCGGACACCCGGCAAATCGTTTTCAAACCCACTGCCGTCTTTCGCTTTCACTTAGATAACTTAAAACTGTTATTGTTTGGCTTTTTCAGTATTTTATTAGTTCCTGAGTAAATCGGTTTGGCTGAGATTAAAGTTATAGTTTTTACACAGCTGAATAAACGTCAAGGAGACAGCTGATTATCAGAAGTGTGCTATGCTTGAGAATTTACTGCGGTGTCCTGTTATATTTTAGATAGCAAGGAGTTTATTAAACTTCACTGAAACAATCTGCAAATGTCATTAAAATTTAATAACCCATCATCTTGTCTTTATTTTTAGTTAGCACAGACCATAAACACTTAAAGCTGTAAGCTAATGATAGTTATATAAGAGCAGATGCTGCTGGTGCAATAAGCTGTACGTTTTACGTTCAATGGATGACGATCTGATTAGTTGACTAATCGCAAAAATAATCGGTGACTAGTCGACTATCAAAATAATTGTTTGTGGCAGCCCTAGAGCTGAGTTACGCCATGTTGCAAGTTTTGTGAGGTGCTTTTGTGATATTTAATGGATCGGATTACATTTTTCATTACTCTCCGATATCCGATCCAGTAATTTAGGTCAGTATCGGACCAATACTGATACGTAATATCTGATCGGTTCATCTCTAGTAAAAAGTAAGGTTTTGTTTTGGGGGGGGGGGGGTTGCAAACATAGGTTTTGCCCCCTGCTGGCCAATAGAGCGAATGCAGGTTTAGGGCACAGACTGCAGTAAAGATCCGAGCGCTCTGGGCCTGTGTGGTTTATGAAGTGTGGCATCTGCTTGAATTTGACTGTAAAAACTGCCATTAACACAGCCCTATCACAGACATGATGCCTACTGTTATCATGGAGACAGTGTCAGGTCTGTGATGTAATATCACCTGCTGCCATGGCAACACTGACTCATTCTGATGTGTGTTGAGCGATGCTGTGAGATGTGACATGTTTCTGGTGTGATGTGTGCTGATGAGGAGTCACAGCGCTGTCAGCTGTGCTATCGGGACCATCGTGTGGTTGGATTCCACGTCATTTCAAGGCTGAAGGTCCCTCTCACAAACATCCTGTTTTTGCTTTGACTTTATTCTGAAAGTTTTGACCAGAAGTGGTGATTTGTATCTTCTGAGCTTTCAGGATGTTCGTCTTCAGTTCTTTATCTGCTGTGTCAGTCTGTGTTTTTGGAGGAAAGTACATGTTCACTGCCATGTTCCAGACACCTCTTGACTTTGTTGACTCTGAAATAAGAGAATCTTTGGGTTATCTGTTCAAGAAAAGAGCTGATTTTAAACTGTGAGCCACTTGCCAGGTTCAGAGCGTCTGCGAATATAACCTGCCTGCTTGGCAGGTTATATTCTGACTCCTCCCCTTCCTGCTGCTCTTGAAGGGGCTATCTGATACTCTTTTCATTTCCTCTTAAATAGAATCGGTGTCAAAGCTCGTATTGAAGTGCATTAATGCTGTATTATATTAAACACAGTCAAAGTTTCAACATAATGAAGGCAGCGTATATACAAGGACATATATGTGCACCAAAAGAGCTTCAGACTGCCCAAACACCCAGTTTGAGAGTTTATTTCTACTCTTAGGTCTAAAGATTAAGATGGCCTTAATCATCAGGCGACTAAAATGACCAAGTGGGTGTCATTTATTACCCCATTGCATTTCATACAGGAATATATACTGTTTCCTTTATCTATGACAGATGACGAACATGTTCTAATGAAACTAAATCATGTTTCTATTATCTTGATTTGGTTTTTTTGGCATCACAGTTTCCATACTTTATGCCATACTTGGCTGGTTTAGAAGAGATGTGAAAACTCTGAAAGTGGCCAACTGTTCACCCACACAGAGATCAATAGCAGTGATATAGTATTTGAGTAACTGGGCTACAGACACAGTCCAAATATCCCTAAAAGCAGCCTGTCTGTCGGCTCTGGCTCATCGGTTGTCGAACCACAAGCACTTCAGGGGCATCTCTGAATCTCGACTTAGAGAGACGACCTAAAATGACCTGTTTCAGTCAGGGGAAGAACTGAGGGGCTGCACCACGGCTCAGTATAAGATTTATGAAGGTTGTTTTGAACTGTGAGTCATGCAGAGCTACTCTGTCAGAGTGGATTCCTGTTTAATTGGCATTGAGGAATTAGCCACAAAACGATTTTCAGAAAAGCCGACAGTGTTAGAAAAAGAAGTGTCGGTAATGTATCTTAAACTGGCATTGTTTTAAATCGTGATTTCAATTTTAAATCCATTAATCAATCAGGCCTTTTATCCGACCAAAAGGTAACAAAATATTGTTTAATTTCCTTTGATATTATAAAT